CCCCAACACAAATCCAGAGAACACGAAATTGATGTTTTAACCATGATTTGCTGAGTGCAAATTATCATTTCTTTAAATATTACTATTTAAATATTGTTGTACATTATTGATATATTATTCAAATACTTAAATATATTTGTTACTATGTTTATACAGGATTGGAGACCATGAGGATATACGTAATTGCTGATACTAAGGGTTATTATGTATGTTTCTAAATGTGGCTCTGCCCCAAATGAGCCTTTAGCCGTGAAATTAATTAGAACATTTTATCCCATTTTCTTTTTACATAGTGTCCCAAAGGAAAATAACTTTTGAAAATAGTTTCACAATGATGATTTAAATGATTTTTTCCTTGAATATTAAGGAAAGTCTGGTAATTAAAAAAAAAGAAAGAGAGAAGATGTATGGGAAAGCAAAATAATCCCAGCCAAAGTGAAAAGCATATTCCATCCAACAATTTCCATAAAAATAAAATGAACATTTGTCTTATGCTATACACTGAAAGGGGAGCTCTGGTAGCATAGTGCCTAAGGCATTTGATTGCTAACCAGCAGGCTGGTGGTTCAAACCCACCAGCCACTCCTTGGAAGGAAGATGGAGCAATCTGCTTCTGTAGTGATACTGCCTCGGAAACCCAAGGAGGGGTCGCTATGAGTCGGGTCCAACTCAATGGCACATAACAACAACAACAACATACACTGAAACACAGAAAGGGCAAAAGGCAAGACTTTCATGCTTTTTGTGAAGCGAGTTCCGCCTTCAGCAGTTCAATAATTATTAAGCAGTAGATGATGGCTTTAAAGCTGTCAAAGAAAATGCACAGCTCCCAATGCCTAAAGGTAGAAAATATTCAAGATCTGAGATTTGCTGTACTAATATTTGATCTTCCAGATTTATTATTGAGTAGCTTTCGTTTAATTCCCAGCTCTGCTTCATTAGCTATGTGATCTGAGAAAAACTACCTCAACTACCTGTCCATTAACTTCAGGAGGGGCTCTTCTTGCTCTAAAGACCTATAACTTTCTGAGTTGTCACCAATAAGGGATACAATTTTGAAAGCTCTAAATTTATTTTAAAACATACGTATGATAAGATCTTCCAAAACACTATATTGGCAGTCTTTAGAAATAACAGAATATTCATCTGATCTGAATTCTATCTTCCCTTAAGGAGTTTTCTTTGTGGAGTAGGTTAGCCAATTATGGGGTATGGATGTCTATGGCGTATACTTTTCTCCTGAGAAATAAATATTTATTTAATGAATCTTTAAAAAAAAAAAAAAAAAGGAGTTTTCTTTGCATTTTCCTTCAGAGAGGAGTGCTGGTGACACAGTGGTTAAAAGATTCAGTTACTAATCAAAAGGTCAGTAGTTCAAACTCAGCAGCTTCTCTGTGGGAAAAAGATGAGGCAGTCTGAGTCTATGAAGATTTACAGGCTTGGCAATCCTACTGAGCAGTTCTCCTATGCTTTATAGGGTCACTAGGAGTCAGGACTGATTTGATGGCAGTGGATTCAGTTTAGGATTTTTTTCCTTTGCAGATAAGCATTTCTTAGTTCTGTCACTTCTTTTCCCAGCCACTGACTTTTAATTAGACCATAGCTCTTTTAAGTACATGGGAGACTATAAAATGATTAAACACTAAAAAGATTATATGCAGTTTTAAATGTGATGCTGTTTAGCATCCCTATTTTTAATTTAACTGCTGCAGAGGTGGACATTTTCACATTTTTAAAGTTAGGTTTCTGCAGTTCTCCACATGAGAGACAAAGATAAAAGGGAATTTGTAAAACTAGGACACTTTTGGATACTATCCTGAAAAAATGGAAGATGGAGAGGCTCTATTTCCAACATGTGATATCTATGTGGCCAAAGGAATAAGACATTCTTTATCTGTATTTCTATCTAAAATAATCAAGAGGAAGTCAACTCAGAAAGGCTTTGATGCATAACTCTGTTGGAAACAGATAGGACCTCAACAATTCAAGATTTAATTCTGCTTAGAGCAGCTGTTCTCATCCTTGTCTGCACATTATAATCCTGAGGAGTTTTAAAAAATCTTAATGCTCAAAATCTCTAGGACTAGAGCTCAGGCATGTATATATATATATGCTAAGGGAGCTCTGGTAGCATAGTGCCAACGCACTTGACTGCTAACCAGAAGGCTGGCGGTTTAAACCCACCAGCCACTCCTCAGAAGGAAGGCTGGGCAATCTACTTCCGTAGTGATACCACCTCAGAAACCCAAGGAGGGATCACTATGAGTCAGGTCTGACTTGATGGCACATAACAACAACAACAACACAACAATATATATGTCTACATATACATGTGTGTGTATACATATTCATATATTTATATTTATTTATTTTAAATTCCTCAAATGATTTCAGTGTGTAGTCAAGGTTGAGAAACTTTGGCTCAGGTACAATACTGACAGTACATATATAATCAGAACCAGAATTCATAGTAAAGCATTTCAGTGCTTTCAGAGTCATGGCTGAATGATCTAGGAAAGCTGTCTGGGAAAAGTAGGCCCTAGGGCAGGGTCCTTAAAGACAGGTAGAATTAAGCGTCACTGTATTTTGTGTAAGAGTATATACGTGGGTGCAAAAGGTATGTTCTAAATATGTAAGCAACATACACTAAGATTCTGGTAGTTTAAAGGAGATGGCACAATTGCAAAACAGAACCAACCACTACCAGGCACACTCAATGCCATTTGGCTCCCTATTTAATATGTCATGGAAGGCAGGTGTGTGACCAGTATTTTTCCATGCTGATGCTGTAACACCTTTGGCTTGGTCTATGACTCCTCTCAGTCTCTTTGAGATCCTCTTTAGAGGTCATTTAGGGAGCTCTGGTGATGTAGTGCCTAAGGCATCTGACTGCTAACCAGAAGGCTGGCAGTTCAAACCCACCAGCCACTCCTTGGAAGGAAGGTTGGGCAATCTACTTCTGTAGTGATACCACCTCAGAAACCCAAGGAGGGGTTGCTATGAGTCAGATCTGACTCGATGGCAGTGGGTTTTTTTTGTTTGTTTGTTTGTTTTAGAGGTCATTTAATCCAATTTCTTCATTTCCCATTTAATTATCGGTATTTAATAATAACAAGAGATGACTTTTATTGAGGGTAAGCTTTTTGCCAAGCATTATGTTAACTGATCCTCTTAGTCACATGAGAACTTTCTGAGTTAGGTCCTATTATTGATATCTCTGTTTTTTAGATGAGGGAGCTGGGACTTACATAGCCTGTCACAGTAAGCTCTTTAGGCCATACCACCATCTTACATCTAATGTCATGTATATATGTATGCATGTAAGCATGCACTTATGTATGTATATGTATTTATGTTCATTTGAATGTATGAAGAGTGAGACAGAGATGAAAGAGAAATGAAAGTTATTGAAGATACATGTGGGATTTCCATGAGTATGCTGATTCTTCCAGGAAGAGAGAGATGTTGACAAAATGATCAAGTGATCTGCAGGGTTGGAGGTGGGTGATATCATACCAATACTCAGGATTTGCAATAGATTCATATATTCCCAAATCCCTAAGAGTTCTTGAGAGAGAAAAAGGAGTATGGGAAATAGGTGACCCAGAGTCAACGCTTTGGCACCCAAAAAGAGGTGTTGCTCTCTTCTTCCCTTTCATGTCTGTGGTCATTATTCATGTGATTTTTAATTTATATCTGGTTGTAATCAGAACTCATCTTCCAGAGGAAGCTGGGGTGAGAGAAGAAGTGGTGATGTAGTGCCTAAGGCATCTGTCTGCTAACCAGAAGGCTGGTGGTTCAAACCCAACAGCCAGTACTCAGAAGGAAGAGTGGGCAATCTACGTCTGTAGAGATACCATCTCAGAAACTCTACGAGTTGGAATCAACTCAATGGCAGTGAATTTTTTTTTTTTTTTTTCAAAAGGGGAAGAGAGCTGGGTAGTGTTTGAAACTTTTCTTAAATCAAAGACTGGAGGTAGATAGCATTTTAACTACCAGAAAAAAATCATGTCACTTCTTGGCATGTTCACATAATTTCTTAGAATGTATCCCTACTGACTTAGTATTTCAATAGCTAGGGAGTAATTATAATATCACTTGGAAATTTTCCATTGTCTTGCCAATTTAGGAATCTTTGCAAAAACTGCCAAAGAAAATAATCCTACTTCTTGATCCAGAGGAATATCCTATATTCCTACATTTTATTGCCTTCCACTAACAACTCAACTCTACAGTGACTTGACTTGGTTAGCTTCTTTTAGTGCATGAATTGGATAAAATATCTTATTTACTAGTTAAGGCAAACATTTTATCTCCAGAAAAAATAAGATTTTAGGTAAATGATTATAGTTAGGTGAAGGGAAAGCTAGGATCAGAACTTTCAATTTCCTGGCAGCATAAACCAAAAATACCAAATTCACTGCCGCTGAGTCAGATCCAACTCACAGCAACCCCTCCTTGGGTTTCCAAGGTGGTATCACTACAAAAGTAGATTGCCCAATCTTCCTTATACAAATTCTCATTTGTATGTGACATATATTAAATAAAAACCAACATGAGAACTGACATGCAAAATACATGGTATAAATCCAGGAATATTTAAAATGTAAAAGACTCAAGGCAAGAGATTTGAGTAAAAAATGTATTGAGCAAAGAAAAGAATTCTTTGTTAAGAGATTTCGCTTTTTTAATTTAAGCAATACTTTTTAGTTGTTGTTATTGTGGTTGTTATGTGTTGTTGAGTTGGACCTGACTCACAGTGACCCTTCCATGGGTTTCTGAGACAATATCGCTACAGAAGTAGATTGTCCAACCTTTCTTATGAGGAAATTTAATTGCAAATAATTTTCAAACGAAAAATTGCTCAAGTATGGGCTGCAACAGGAATTTTGTAAATTCTCTAATTACAAGGAAAGGACTTTGTCATGAATGATCAAAATTAAAGACACACAAATCAAATACATAAGCAAAGTTTTTGTTGTTGTTGCTGTTGTTTTTACCTGATTGCCAAAGAGGTTGAATCCATTAATTGCTTCTAGAGCTGCTTTTGCTAAGCCGACAGAGCTAAAGGAGAAATGGAAATACTTCATTATGATGAGGTATCTGGCTACAAAATAAGAAGTTTCTTCATAATACTTGTAACAACTTTGGCAAAAAGAATAATGTCTAAGAGACTTTTTTAGTGACTTCCTTTCACTATTTTAATTTTTCTTTTTTACAGTTAGTAATCATCTGGGAAAAATATTTCCAGGCTCACCTTGATCTAGACTAAGGGTCATACTACTGATGGCAGCAGGTTTAATTCCATTATCATTTACATTCACTACGTCAAAAAAAAAAAAAGAACTTTACAGGAAGGTGTAGGATGATGATGTGTGCATAGTAATCACCAGATCAAGCATCGTTACTTCAGATCAACACAAAAGAACTTTCTTGATGTCAGTGCTATGGAGCATGGATTAATGTGTTTTTCACATTTTCTTTGTTGGGGGTCTAATAAAATAGGCATTATTTTATGCTTACAGAAAGCTGATCACTATACTTCCCACTTGCTGTTATATACTTCTTGTTATAAATGTGTACTATTTCTCTATGTGTCCTATCCCTTCCCTCTCAAATCCCACACACAACAGTGCTGGGAAATGGGAACATTCCAAGTTTCATTAAAAATGTAACATAAATCCAAAAGCCAAACCTACCGTCATCAGGTAGATTCTGACTCACAGTCACCCCGTATGACAGAGTGGAACAGCCCCATAAGATTTCCAAGGCTGTAAATCTTTACTAAAACAGACTGCCTCATCTTTCTCCCGTGGAGTAGATAGTTAGCTTTAAATATTTTAGAACTAATATCTAGTTTATTTTACTTACTGCACTTTTTTTGCTCTTATTCAAAACAACCACACCTACCATCAATATAATTTAAAATAAATACGTTCTTATATTATAAATAATTCAGCATATTTTTAAAGCAGTGATTATCAATATGTAGTATGCAGAATAGGAAAATCAGCATTACCTGGTAACTTGTTAAAAAATATAAGTTCTCAGGTCTCATTTAAGACTTACTGAATCAGAAATTATGGGGCTGGGGCTTAGAAATTCACTTCAAAAATCCTCCTGACATTTGAATGAATGTTAAAAGTTGAGAAAGTTTGTTCTAAGCTATTCATGCCATCATGTTCTACATTTTATATGGGTCATTTATAAGCCCTTTTCTCAGATAAGCTTTACTTCTATTTAAAGATAGTAAAGAGGTGATTTTAGCATGGAAAACTTATTTTTAAAGTATATGGATGCAAAGGTAGAATAGGCACACTTTTCCTCATTTCTCTCACTAAACGTAACTAAAAACCCTGAATAGTATAAATAAAGCAAACATAAGGAAATGCTGAAAGATGGGCAGAAGGCAGGTAAGCTAAGAATCTTAGGACCCTAGGAACAACATGGTGGTGAGATCTTTGGGTTTCCTTTTTACATCACATGTCCCAGATTTGGAGCTGCAGAATCTAACAACGGGAAAATGCCAACAGGCGCGCACACACACACACACACACACATATATATACACACAAACGTGTTCTAATAAAAGCCTGCTCTCTACAGGCAAAAAACCAGGAAAAGAGAAGTCTAATAAGATAGAAAACTTTTAGACAATAACTATTCAGAAAATATCTGTGACCCTACTCCCACCTACTTGAGCAAAGATCATGTGGGGAATCTAGACTTCTATTGTTACGAGGCTACATTAAGGCACCTTCCCTAACCCCCAGCCTCCCTAGCTACAGTGGTATAAAAGAGTAAAACTTTCATCCTAGCCGGTGGTAATAAGGTCCTCATCACCCTGCGGTGTCAGTGGAGCCAATGTGGAGAGCCTGGACTTCCATTCCCACATATCACTAATGAAATGCGTCTCCGCCTCCCACCAGTATGGCGTTAGAGTAGGACTCCTGGAGAGTCAGAATGTTTCCTGACACCCAGCAGTAAAGAAACCACAGTTCACCCCTGAGGAATAAGTGGAGGCCACCTGGGAAGCAGTAATGAGGCAATCCTGGGAAGTCAGATATATCCCACTCAGGCCCAGAAGCACTAAGGAACCCTATCTTGGGTATCAATAAAGGCCAAGTAGACTTCTACCCCTGGAACTTATGAGGTAATAATATCCCATTTTTCTAGCTGGAGTGGTGTCAAAAAAACTTGCTACAGAAAGTTAAAATAAGATCCAGTCTCTAAACATAATACCCAAAAAGTCTATGTTTCAGTCAAATATCACAAGAACCAGGAAGTTCAAATTGAATGAAAAAAAAAAAAAAGACAATACATGTTAACACCAAGATGAAAGAGATGTTAGAATTATCTGACAAAATGTTAAAGCATCCATGTTAAAAAACAAACAACATTTCCTAAAAAGCAATCACAAACACACGTGAAACAAATGAAAAACAGAAAATCTCAGCAAAGAAATGAAAAAGCTCAGAAAAGAAATGGAAGAAATAAAGAAGAACCTAAAGGAAATTTTAGAACTGAAAAATGTAATAGCTGAAATGAAAGTTCAGTGGATGGACTCAATAGCACACAGGTGGGGACAGAGGAAAAAATCAGTGAAGAAACAGACAAAAATATAAAAACTACTCAATATGAATAATACAGAAGAAAATACATTGAAAAAACAACAGAGCTTCAAGGACTTACGGGACTATGCAAAAGATCTAACATTCATTCATAAGTGTCCCTGAACGAGAAAAGATAGAGAGTAGAGCTGAAAAAGTACTTGAAATAACTGAGCAAACAATATAAGCTGAGCAAAAAACAAATAGGATAAAATAAAAAATATCTATGCCATGAGACATCACAATTAAACTTCTAAAAACTAAACAAACACATAAATAAATAAAACAAGGAACAGAAAAAACTCTTCAAAGAAGTCAGGAAAAAAAAAAACTTAGATAAAGGGGAAAAGCAATCAAAATAACAATATGTATCTCATCAGAAGCCACAAAGAACAGAAAACCACCGCAGATGAGTCCTTTCCGACTCATAGTGACCCCTCCTTGGGTTTCTGAGGCAGTATCTCTACAGAAGTAGATTGCCCAATCTTCCTTCCAAGGAGTGGCTGGTGGGTTTGAACCACCACCTTTCTGGTTAGCAGTCAAATGCCTTAGGCAAGAACAGAGGGAAGTATTTTTCAAGTCTTCAAAAGAAGGAACTGTCACCCCACAATCATTTATCTAGTAAATATATACTTTATGAATAAAGGGGAAATCAGAGCATTCTCAGATGAAGGGAAAGAAGAAAGTATGTAACTAGCAGATCTGTCCAAGAAGAATGGCTAAAGTAAGTTCTCTAAACCAAAAGGAAATGAGAAAAGAAAGAAACTTGAAACACCAAAAAGAAAGATGACAATAAGAAATATATGGCTAAAAATAGCAGATTTTTTATCTTCTGTTAATTTACTAGATTATGTTAGATGAGAAAAGCAAAATTATAATGTTACATGTATGCAGAGGAAATATTTACTATAATCATATCATCAAATAAGAAGGGCAAAAGAATTTAAAGTGGGATATAGTTTCTGTATGTCCTCTGAACTGGCAAAATGATGGCACCAGTATACTGTGGTTAATTATGTATATTTAACCCACTAGCCCACTCCATGGAAGGAAGGTTGGGCAATCTACTTCCGTAGTGATACTGCCTCGGAAACCCAAGGAGGGGTCGCTATGAGTCGGGTCTGACTCAACGGCACATAACAACAACAACAACAACAACAACAATCTAATATGTAGAGAAACCACTAAAAAGCTATACAAAGAAATATACTGAAAACCACTATAAAAAAAACCAAGATATAGTTCAAAAAAATGCACAAGTAACTCATAAGAAGGCAGAGGAAAAACCCAGAGAAATGAAAAAATAGCAAAAAGTAATAACAGACTTGGTGCTAACATGTAATTAATTACATTAAATGTAAATATCATAAATAAAACCTTAAAATACAGAGATTAACAGGATGAATTAAAAAAAAACATGATCCATCTACACACTGACTACAAGAAACTCACTTTAAATACAATACAATAAGCAGGCTAAAAGTGTAAGGATGGAAAAAAGATGTATCACACAAATACTAAAGGAGAGCAGGAGTGGCTATATTAATATCACATAAAGTAGATGTAAAAATAACAACAAGAACAAAAGTTATCAAGACAGAGTGACATTCTAGAATGATAAAAGGGTTAACTACCAAGAAGAAACAGCAATCTTAAAGATGTATGTACCAAACAACAGAGCTGCAAGATATGTCAAATGGATGGAAATGAAATCCACAATTCTAGTTGGAGACTTGAATATTTCCATCTAACTACTGATAGAACAACTATAAAGAAAACCAGCAAGGGTATTTAAAAAAAAAAAAAAAAAAACTGAACAATATCATCTATTCATAGGATCTAATCAATACTTTTAGAACAATCTGCACAAAAAGAGTCAAATGCCAAGATGAACCATATCTTTAGTCATAAACAAAATCTAGAAAAAGTAAAATTGAAATCATACTGTCTGTATTTCCCTAGGAGCTCTGGTGGCACAGTGCCTAAGACATTTGCCTGCTAATCAGAAGGTTGGCAGTTCAAGCCAGCAGCCACTCTGAATGAAGATAGGGCAATCTACTTCCATAAAGATTTACCACCCCCTGACCAATGGGGGTCGCTATGAGTCAGAATCAACTCAATGGCAGTGAGTTTGTTTTGCTTTGTTTTGGTATGTCCCTACCACAATGGAATCAAACAGTGTACTTATTTCAAGAATTTAAAAGATTTTAATGACACTAGACAGCGTAGTGCCTAAGGCACTTGACTGCTAACCAGAAGGCTGGTGCTTCAAACCCACCAGTCACTCCTCAGAAGGAAGATGGGGCAATCTACTTCCATAGTGATAATGCCTTGGAAACCCAAGGAGGGGTCGCTATGAATCGGGTCCGACTCGATGGCACATAACAACAACAACAACAACACTCTCAAAATTATTATATTATTAACTATTGAACACATTGAAATTGTTGTCAT